TTTTTGCTTATTTTCATTTTTTCAGCGAATCCTTCTTTCATTATCTTTTCAGAATTCTATATATATTAGACTTTTAATCCCACAAATACGATTACGATTTTCCATAGCTAGAGCCTATGTTTGGAATTGCTTTTCCAGTAGTTGTCTTAGAAGTGTGTGTATATGCTTAGCTTTATTAATAGTCTTTCTATATAAAACTTTTGACGTTGCAGTTATATTCAGTTTTCTCAGTCTTTCAGCCTTCTCAGTTTCAGACTAAAAAATGTCTCTTCCATTCTCAGATAGAAAATAGTTGCTTTCTCTCAGTATGTTTTTGTCCTCAACGTTTTGTGGTTATGATTTGGCATATACATGTTAAGATAAATACTCCCTATTATTTTAGAAAAATCTGAGACTGTGATTAAGATAAGACTGGACAGTGATTGAGCTTGGGCGTGGTGGCCTGTGCCTGTAATCCCAGTGCTTTGGAGGCTGAAAACAGGAGGATCCAGTCTGTGTAGTGAGACCCTGTAGACCTTGCAGACCCTGTACTAAATACATTTTGAAAGAAAGAAAGAAAGAAAACAAACAAACAAACAAACAGTGTGGTGGCATAAACCTCTAGTCCCACCGCTTGGTTGAGGCCAGTTAAGGCCAGTGAGACCCAGTCTAAAAAACTGAAACAAAGATGTTGCTTTAGCGACAATTCATTTCTGTGATTCAGGTGTTCTCTTGCTGTTGTGCAACCAAAAGAGATACAGAAGGTTCTGTGTTGAAGAGGTGATCGGATTAATGGTGTCACCTATAAGCAGTGATTTCATCTTTTTAAAACTCCATCCAAACAATTATTTAGGGGTCGAGGAGATGGCTCAGTAGAATAAGTGCTTCCCTGGCAAGTGCAAGTGGCTCAGTTCAATCCCCTGTTCCGTCAAAAAAAAGAACCAATTATTTAACTTCTCACTTGAAACTTAAAAATGTATGCTTGTCAAGTATTACATTTGTTTTATCTCTAGAGATGTGGGATTCCTTTAGAGCTTAGAGCTCTTATGCAGTCTGACGGTCACTGGCTGGGGATAGCTGAGAGTCCCACAGCTGACCTCCGACTCCTTGCACAGGTAGAGGGGGCCTGGCTGCAAAGCCGTATCCGGGAAGAGTTTGAGAAGCTCCGAGAGTTCCTGCAGAATGAGGAGCAGGCCATCCTGGACGCCATGACCAATGAGGCCAGGCAGAAGCAGCTCCTGGCCGACCAGAAGATGAAGCGGCTTGAGGAAGAGACTGAGATGCTTGCCCACGAGATCGAGCGGCTTCAGGCAGAAATGAAGGAGGACGACATCTCTTTTCTCATGGTGAGTGGCTGCGTTCAGGGCTCAGGCATATGAATGGCACAGCCCTGCTGGAAGAGCTGAATAAGCTTTGGGTCAGAGGCTAGAGCAGGGCCTGAGACTGATCTCTCCTCCTTTCTCCTGCACTCACTTTCATTTATTTGCTGGTCTTTTAAAATGCAATCTTTGAAAGTTACACAGTTACTGAAATGTTTTTATTTAAACGTGATGTCCTTATGTTTTGTTAAAAGGATGATTTTGTTTTTCCTTTAATAGTGTTGAGATCATTTTTTCTTTCATTTATGGTTTTGTCACTGCCACTTACAAAGAAATTTCTGTAACTCAAAAGCTGGTTTATAAATCAGTCAGGAAGACTATCAAGGTGTGTACTGCACCTGCCGAGAGCAGGCCTCTCTAGGAGAGCAGAGTGTGCAGCAGAGCAGGCAGGGCCAGAGCCATCAGGCAGGGTGCTTTGTTCTGGCTAGGGTTTTTGTAGGTTGTCTGCCTCCTACAAAGCCTTAAACCACCATGCCCCTGAACCTCACATTGCCCAATGGATGGGACTGAAGTTGGGTCCCTTACCAGTTCTGGATATCATCCTGTCCAGTACCCAGGGTGCTTCCAGGAATGCTTTGGCTTATAACTATTTGTTGTTTTTGTTGTTACTTTGATACAATTTGTATACTGCACTATATAACTCATTCAGTTTTTTTAAGTTTATTTTTTAAAAGACAGGCCCTTGCTTTGTTACCCAGGTTGGCTTCAAACTCTTGGGTTCAAAAGATCTTTCTGCTTTGGTGTGTGTGTGTGCGTGTGTGTTTTGTTTTTTGTTTTTTTGGTGGTTCCAGGGATTGAACTGAGGACCGTGTGCTTGCCAGACAAGCACTTATTCCACTGAGCTATCTCCCCGGCCCCATTCCTTGGTGTGTTGAGTAGCTGGAACTACTAGTGCACACAGCCACCCTGGCTTCATTCACCTATTTAAAGTACACAGTCACCCACTTTCAGTATGCTACCAAGCTGTGTTACCATCGCAGCTATTAGAATGTTCTGTCTTAGAACGCTTCTTCACCCTCACAAAGGTCTGTGCCCTTCGGCAGTCACATCTCAGCCACTGGCAGCCAGCCGTCTTTCTAGATTTGCCTGTTCTAAACATTTCTCATAAATGGGATCTTGTAATATGTAACCTTTGGTAATTGGCTTCTTGCATTCAGCATGTATTTAGATTTTATCCATATTATAGCATCCGTTAGTACTTCTTTCTTTGTTATGCCGAAGAATGTTCCATTATATATTTTATTAGTTACATTGATGGTCATTTGGGTTGTTTCTGCTTTCTCTCTCTCCGTCTCTGTCTCTGCCTCAGTCTCTGTTCTTTAAAACTGGGCATTGAGTCGAGGGTCTTTACATTGAACTATATTCTTCAGTCTTTTTAAAAAATAGTTTTGAGGGGCCAGGGATATGGCTCAGTGGGCTAAGCGCTTCCCTGACAAGCACAAGGGCCTGAGTTCAATTCTCAGTCCCCCCCCCCCAAAAAAAAAGGTTTTGAGAAGAGTCTCACTATATTACCCAAGATGGGCTCGAACCTGCTACTTTCTTGCCTCAGCCTCTTAATGCACTGATATTACAGGCAGGTGCCACTATGCCTACCTTATTTTTGGGTTTTATTGATAATAAACATTCATGTACTACTTTCTTATAGATCTGTTTTCCTTTCTCTTGGGTATATATATCTAGGAATAGATTTACTGAATACTTTGTCCACATCCTTGCCAACATTTTTGTTGTTGTTGGGTTTTTTGGGTTTTTTAGCTATTTTGTTGAGTGTGAGGTGGCACTTCGGTATGCTTTCAATTTGCGTTTCCTAAGGACTAATGATCCTGGGTACCTTTCATGTGCTTATTGGCCAGTTATAGCTCTTCTGTGGAGAAATGTCGGTTCCAAGTGTTTGTCCATTTCTTCATTGGGCTTTTTGTTGCTCATTTGTAAGAGTTCTTTATCTGATTATCCACTTCGAGTTAATTCTTTATATGAAGTCAGGCTCCAACTTCATGTTGTTGTATGTCAGTATCTACTTCTGCCAGTACCAGTTTTTTTTTTTTCTTTTTGAAAGACGATTCTTTTCCCCATTGAATGATCTTGGCCTCTTACAGATAATTGACAATAAATTTAAGAGTTTATTTCTGGACTTTTAATTCTGATTCATTGATTTATATATATTTTGGGATTTTCTAGGGGTAGGTAGTCCTGGTACCGAACCCAGATAAGGTCTCATACCAGAAACACTCTGCTGCTGAGTTACATTTCCTGCCCTTTTCATTTTTTAATTTTGAGACATGGTGTCACCAGGTTGCTCAGGCTAGCCTCTGACCTGTAACCCTCTTGCCTCTGCCTTCTGAGTAGCTGGGATTACTGCTCTGTTTGGATGCGTGTCAGTTTTCATGTTAGGACCATGTTGTCTTAATTACTATTGGTGAGTATGAGACATCCAACTTTGTTCGTCTTTTTCAAAATTATTTTGGATATTCTTGATTCTTTGAATTTCTATATGATTTTTATTATTATTTTTTAATGATTTATTTGTTTGTTTGGCCTAGGGTCTTGCTACACAGCTCAGACTCATAGTGATACTTCTGTCTCAGCCTCCCCAGTGTTGGGATTGTAGTTGTAGGCCACCATACCTGCTTTCACTGACAGCACCGCGCAGGGCCGGTATGGCATGTGATACCAGGGATTGAACCCGGATCCTTGCACTGGCCAGGCAGGTGATTAGACCACTGAGCTTTCTCTGCGGCCCCCTTATGAATTTGAAAGTCAGTGTTTTTGTTTTTGCAAAGAAGTCACTTGAGATTTCAGAAGAGAGTACAGTCAATCTGTGATCGCTTTGATACTAACATTGTAATAGTGTTGAAACTGACTTGTAAACATGTGAGGCATGATTTCTCCTGTGGTCAGAAAACTCACATGCTTTCTCTGTGTCTGTTTTTTTTCCTTCAGAAACATAAGAGCCGAAAACGCCGGTAAGTTGCCAGGTCTTGTGAAGGGGAGGGGAAGCACAGGCAAGAAAAGCAGTGCTGCAGAATCTGCAGTGGCCCCAGGGCCAGGCAGCTGATGCAGCGGCTGGTGGAGCTGGAGAGAGCGGGGCACTGGCCAGGAAGAGTTGTTCCCCAGGTAGAGGAATCCACTGTGTGGATCATGTTTCGCCATCCACTGTGCAGGGAGGACAGTTGCGCACATGATCATGTTTCTCAGTGGTCACCCAACAGTGAGGGGTTTTTTTGGCTGGCCTGCTCACTCTCAGCCCCAGGACACAGCCTCAGGATGCTGATGACTGTTGGTTTCCCTGGGAGGAATAAGGAAGGACTGTCCCAGTCTGCCCAGAGTGGTTTGGGTGGAAGTAAATTCCCAGTCACTGGAGGTATTCAGAAAAGGCTGGTATAGTTCCCTCTGCTTCAGATGTCCTATGACTAGAGATGTGTAGCTTCTGTCCACAAGGATGTAGCCCTCTTGGGGAACCCCCAGTTTGTATTTCTCACAGCTGAGGTAGGAGAAATACAAACTGGCCTGAAGTAGTGTGGCTTCTGACGAAGGCCTGAAGTAGTGTGGCTACCAAGTAGGCCCAGTGGGGGGGAGTGTTTAGGGAAAAATGACCAGGAACTTAAGAGCCTAGGCAAGGGGACAAGTCCTCAGCCCGCCCCCAGCCCTGCACACCATGCCCAGTCCTCCTTTCCCAGGCTCTTCTGCACCATGGAACCAGAGCCTGTGCAGCCAGACATGCTTGTGGATATCTGCAAGTACCTTGACTCCCTCCGGTACCGTGTCTGGAAGAAGATGATTACATGTGTGGAATCTGGTGAGGGCTGCAGCAGGTGACCCCAGCCAGGCTCCCCTGTATGTCCCAGCTGCCCCTCCTCCCAAGCCTTTCTTAGGCATGCCCAGCCACCCTTCTCCCTCCTGCCCGACTGCCCAGCCCTCTGGCCTGCTCTTTCCTGGGCAGGACCTGACCCTCTGTCACCTCCTCAGAAAGCAAACACTCCCCTTCCAGTTGTGAACTATAACATATATGATAAGGGACCTCATGCAGGGTCCCCTCTCCAGCCATTGTGTTCTGGTGTGTCAGGGAGGGGAATAACATTTTCTAAGATACTGCTTTTTCTAAGATACTGCAGTCTTGTGAACACAATAAGTCCCTGCCTTTGTTAGTACCTCTGCCTGCTATCACAAAGGACACAAATTGGATTGCTTAAAATGACAGAAATCGATTCACACAACCCCGGTGGCATTAGGGCCACGGGCCCTTTTCACCTCTTCTAGCTGCTGGGGTCTGTTGGCATTGCTTGGCTCTGTCTGGTTCATGACTGCAGCACTTCAGTCTCTGCCTCTCTGTCACATGATGCCATTTTTCCAGTGTCATTGCCACTTTTCCTGGAATAGCCGTGTTGGACTAAAGGCCCACCCTACTATAGCCGAGTTCATCGTAATTCAGTTTAGTTCCAAATAAGGTCGTATTCGGAGGAACTGGGCCTTAGGACTTTATGAGGACATAGTCCAGTCTATAACCCTGTCAGCCCAACAGCACCCTGATGCACAGACGGGTAGGACAAAGGTGGTTGGTCAGCCAGCACAGCAGGGGGTGTCTTGTTTGCTGACTGTTACCTTCTCTGCCCTCAGTGCCCTTTAGCCTGGACCCCAACACGGCAGCTGGCTGGCTCTCGGTAGCTGACGACCTCACCAGCGTTACCAACCATGGCTACCATGTGCAAGTGGAGAACCCGGAGCGCTTCTCCTCGGCGCCCTGCCTGCTGGGCTCCTGCACCTTCTCGAAGGGCTCCCACAGCTGGGAGGTGGCCGTGGACGGGCTGCAGAGCTGGCGGGTGGGTGTGGTGCGGGTGCAGTCCGAGGAGGGTGCTGAAGGCCACTCACTCAGCAACTACCACGACATGCGTTCCGGCTTCTGGTACCTGTGCCGCACCCAGGGCGCAGAGGGGGACCATTGTGTGGCCTCAGACCCAGCCACATCCCCCCTGGTCCTGGCTGTCCCACGCCGCCTACGTGTGCAGCTGGAATGTGAAGAGGGCGAACTGTCCTTCTATGATGCTGAGCGGCACTGCCACCTGTACACCTTTCATGCCCGCTTTGGGGAGGTGCGACCCTACTTCTACGTGGGGAGTGCACGGGACAACAGGCCCCCTGAGCCTTTGCGTATCTGCCCGCTGCGTATCAGCATCAAGCAGGAGCTGGACAGCTGAGCAGGGGCTAGCCTCATCCTGATGCCCAGCCGGGGCTGGACTCTGTACCCTGCCTTTGGGCAGCATTCTTTACAGTTTTCTTATTCTTTCTGGGTCTCCAAGTCTTGTCTCGTTTGGTTTTTGCCCCTGTCTCCCTATAGTTAAAAGTCCCTCTCCCCCAGGCCTCTTGCTGGGCCACAATTGGGGCACCTTCAGGTGCAAATGTTTTGGACCTCGTATCAGGACTTTGCTTCAGGAAGGGGCCTGTTCGTTCTACAAGCCAGGTTTCATTATTTCCCAGGTTTGGTGAGGCCAAGCATCTGGTTGACTTTTTTAAGAAGAGTTTATCACTCTGCTCCCAGGAAGAGGGGCAGGCTGCCTATGGGGCCACCCGGGGCCTGGTAGGAGTCAGAGCAAGGTGGAAGTATTGCCAAAGCCTTCATCGTGGCTTTCTGGGAGGGAAGGCAGGGCAGTGTGAGCAGGGTGCAAAGGCAGCTTAGGTTGGGGCAGTCTGAGGATCTGCAGCAGATTCTGGGTTGTAGTGGCTGCCCCTGAAAGACTGACACTTGCCCGTGAGAGCCTTGTGGCAGATGCAGGAGGCACTGGTGGCAGGCCCTGGGGTGGTGGCTGTCCCAGGACTGGTTGGCTTGGAAGGGGCCACCTGATGAGTTCCAGCTTCAGAGTTTCAGGAACACAGTAAGTGAAGCACAGTCTCTGCAGGGCCATGCTGTGGCTTTGCTACATGACCCAGGGCTCGGCCTGTCTGTCACCTTCTGTTACTGTTTTAAAATCGCTGCACAGGTCTCACTGGGAAGGTGGAGCTTCCCACTGACCCCGTTGATCAGCTCCCATTCTTGTTTATATTGGAGTAGGTGGTTTCCTCAAAGACACGAGTTCTGGAGCACTTTTGTGCCCACACTGCGTCTGTTTCCTGTGAGATGATGGTGCTGGTGGGCGGTGTCCTGTAACTGCCATGGAGGAGGGCCCTCTGCTTAATTCTTTCCAAGATCTGAGAAGGGAAGACAGGAGGAGGCCTTTTTAGTTAGAAAAAAGAAAAGGCGGACACCCTTGGCCTCCCGGCTTGCTTGTCTTCCCGTGCTCCACTCCCCTGCTTGCTTTTCGCTGCCACCTGCGGAAGCTCCCTAGATTGCCCCCCCCCCCCCAAGCTGGGTTCCTCCACTGCTTCTTTCTTAGACCTATGTGTCATTTCTAGTTGCAGCCCAGGAAGCCAGTTGATAAAAGCAAACATTTTGCTATGGGTGTGATATGCTAGTATCCTGCCTGTATTTACCACTTCATAAAAACTCAAACTTTCAACAAAGTATGATTCATGCCCATTAATTGGTTATCAATGTCTTGTGCACATCAGTTATGTAACAAATGGGGTCACAGGGAGGGACCAGTTTGGAGCTGCTACTGTGATTCCAGCCAAATTGGTGGGAGGAAGTGAACACTAGTCCATGCGTGTCAGGTGCTCAGCCTGAAGAAGTCTGGCATGTGGGGAGCTAGACAGCTCAGAGTGTACACCTTATGCTGTTGAGTGTTTTACCTATTGCGTATAGTTTCTGTATAGTGAACTTGACCTGAAATTACTTTGTTATAATAGAGTTCAATTTTTTTTTAATTTTTACCTTAGATGTAAATTTTTTTAACCATTAAAGACAGTTTGATCTGGATATGGTGATACAGTACCTGTTATCTCATCACTGTGGGAGGTTGAGGCAGGAGGATCACAAGTTCAAGCCCAGCCTGGGCAACTGGTTAGCCTAAGCCTTTTCAAAATAAATAAAAAGATACATTCTTTTAATATGAGTTTTCTTGTTTCAAGTTTATCCATGCTGTCCTGTGTATTGTTTGCATTGTAATATATTACATGGAATGATACTGATGGCGTGCCTTATCAGTTGGTGGGTTCAGGCTGTTTCTGTTCTTGGCTACTATAAATAATGGTACTATGAACATTTGTGTACAAGTCTTATGTGGACATGTCGTGAATGCTGTGTGGTAAGCTAATACCTGGGAGTTGATCTGCCAATTCACTTGGCTGTTGTAATCTTTTTTTTTTTTTTTTGCGGAACGGGGGATTGAACTCAGGCCCTTGTGCTTGCCAGGGAAGTGCTTATTCCACCGAGCCATCTACCCGGCCCCAGCTGTAATCTTTGGAGGAACTGCCAAGCTGATTTCCAGTGTGGGGCCCTGTTCTGTTCTCCCCAGTGGTGGGCAAGGGTTCTGGCTGTCTTTGCCAACACTTAGCGGTCATCTTGGTGAGGTGGCAGGTGGCTCGCTGTGGCTTTGGCTTATGTTCCCCTGGTGGCTGATGTGTCAAGCATCTTTTCATGTGTTTGCCATTTATCTGCTTAGGAAAACTCTGCAGAGCCTTTGACCATTTTTAATTGGTCATTTGTCTTTGTATTTTAAATACAAGTGTTCCAGATGTCCAAGTTACGAAACTTCCATTCTGTGGGTTGTCTGTCACTTGATAAGCTTTCAAACCCAACCTTTGGTTTTTCTTTCATGGTGTCCAATTATGTTTTTTCTTTTGTTTTCATATTCTAATTTTGTTTTGTTTTACTTTGGTGGTCCTGGGGATTGAAGAACCCAGGGATACTACCACTGAATTATGTCCCCGCCCTTTCTACTTGGAGATAGGTCACTTGGTCCTAGGCTAGCCTGGCATTTGGGGTCCTCCTGCCCAGCCTCCTGAGCAGCTGGGGCTGTAGACCTTTGCCTTCTCTTCTCCTGGAAGGTGAATTTCCAAAAGCACTTGACCACTGGTTACATCTAACAGTGGGATGCTTTGCTGAGCCTCATGGCCAGTGATGGGGCAGGGCAGGCAGTTTCCCCAGTACCTTAGAGGGACATTGAAAGGGCTCCCGTCTGGCAGTCCCTCCCCGTGCCTGCTGTCTGGGCGCGGACCCTGCCGGGATTCCCATGGCTGCTGCTGTGTGCTCCCCACCCTCCGGGGAAGCACTAGGCCTGTGGAGATCTGTGCATGTGGGGGCATGTGGCTGTCGTTTCTCCGGCCCTAGATCAGAAGCGCTGCTGGGGTGTAGTTGCAGTGCTGAACGGGTGTCCAGCCACGAACCCCTTAAGGACGTGAGTCGGCAGCAGACCACAGACAGGTGGTTCCGTAAGATTGTAAGGGGGCTAAAAGGTTCCTGTCATGCAGTCGTCGTCCCTCGGCCTTCTTGTCGCTTAGCTGCTTGAGGGCTCAGCCTTCACATGTGCCCACAGCCTCCAGCGCCAGTGCGGTGGTGTGCCGCACAGCTTTGCAGCCGAGCGGCATCTGCGAGGTGTGCAGCACGCTGTGCTGTCTGCGTTGGTGTAAGCACACTGCGATGCTCACACTGACGCAACCGCGTAAAGGCATGTTTCTCAGAACACCCGCCACTGAGCATCACGTGACTGTCTGAAAAGTGGTCCTCCGCAGCACCACAGAGCACAGCAGTGTTCGAGGGGAAAGGGACAGCTTGGCACGCAGATGCCTGGCTCCAGGGCCAGGCCTCCGATGCACAAGCCACAACTATGCTGGCTTTTAGCACCTGTGCCCAGGAGCAGAGTCGGTACCTGCTCCAGTTTTAGGGACATCATTGAGGCCGGCTTTGGTAACAGTGCCTGGTACAATCCGTCTCTAGGCTTATTATACATTGGCTAATTCTTCTGCAGTTGGAAGACTGCATGCTAAAATTACTACTCAAAATAACAACCCCAAAGAAAAGTGAGAAGCAGAAATGCTACAGTTATGTCAGGAGTGCTTGCATGTCCTCAGATTTTTTAACAAACATGTTTATGAAAAGTATCAGTAACTTGAGAAAATGAAGATCCCATAATAGCCCATAAAAGTAGATTTCATAGTTAAACACACACGCAACATACAGAGAGACAAGCGGGAGCTTGTCTGTAATTTCATGTGCATAATTAATTAGATAATCTGTTTACATGGCTGCAGATGCCGGAGGCACGAAATGTACGGGGCGGTCTCTGTCTTCTGCCCGTCCAGCTCTCCTCTTCGTAGGCAGCTGCCTGTACCTGTCCCCTTTCTCACCTTTGTAGGGATATTGTGCACACAGCACATGGCCTGGTTCCCAGCATGCCCTGCCCACCCCAGGGCACTGTAAGGGCAGAGTCCCTTGCTCTGTGTCCCCCAGCAACCCGACCAAGAGGAGAAAATGCAAAAGATGCTATTGAAATAACTTTTTCTCCTCAAGGGGGAGTTTATCCTGGATGTTTTCATGCAATCGGTTCAGTTGGTGGATTTCAGTTTTTGTTTTCCTGTAAATATTGTTCTGTAGAAGTTTAAAACAAAGAGAAAAAGCTAAACCAAAACATTAAACCAGAGATCTCAACATACATTTAAAAAATCATCCTCGCCTCATCCTGGACAACAATAAGACCCTACCTGCCTCAAAAATGAAAGTGTTCCCTGGGTTAAATGCTTAGTAGCCCAAACAAACTCAATCCTCACAAAGGCACTCAGTCACAGACTGAGACTGAGATATGGGGTTGAACAATCGGGCTTCAAACTCTGAGTCACCTACCCTGTGGCCCTGAGAGAGTCTTCACTTCTGTCTTATTTTTGTCATGTGAAAAAGAAGAGTTCTTACCTCTTTTGCTGTGAGATTTTATTTTTATTTTTTGCATTTTAGGGAAGGGTCTGCAGGGTGTTCAGGGTCTCACTATTATATCGGACTCCTAGTGATCCGCCTGCTTACAGCCTCCCAAGAGCTGGGATTACAGACATGTGCTGCCTTGCCCAGTCTCAATTGCTGTCTCAGCATGTCCTGGGGGTGGATTGAACCCCTGGCCCCTGCGCCTGCTTGCAGTTGCTTTAATCCGCTGAGGTATTTGGCTGGCCCTGCTGTGATATTTTAAAGTAAGCAAATGTTTAAGTTAGAAAAGAGCTTGAACTTGAGTTCAGCAGTTCAGTTCACTATTGTTAGACCTGCCCCTGCTGCTGCAATTGCTGTGACTCTGTTAAAGACATTCACCTTCTGTGAAGGGGGAACCTGGACACTTGCTTGTTTTTTCCAGGTTATTTCCAATTCTAAATGTGTGGGTAACGGTCTGTGTCACTAGCAAGACCCTGTGTCTCACAGGTGACTCAGGGTGCTGCTGCAGACGGTTCTCAAGAACGGGGGTGTCAGCCAGGCATGACTGTAATTCCAGCATTCTGGAGGCTGAGGCAGGAGCATCGCCTCAAGTGCAGGGCCAGCTTTACTACGTAGTGACTGAGTTCAAGGCCAGCCGGAACTACATGGCAAGACCTTGTCTGCAAAAACAAAACTCCAGAAAGAAATGCATCTGAGTATGGCAGCAGAGGCTTTGCCTCATATTTTGAAGCTGGAAAAAAACAACTAAGGGATCATGATATTTCCAGCACAGGAAAGGATATTCTAGAGAAGAGCAGATCTCGTTCATTTGTGCCTAAGATTAGTATCTGGATCATGCACAATAAGATGGCACTGCCACGTGCTAAATGGCTCACATACATGTACATATGTTATTAAAGATGTCAAAAACCAACTCATATCCACTGTGGAGGTGACTTTATTGGCGGTCAGGCTATTCGGATTGGACAAAGCTGATCGTCAGAGATAGGCGGTGCCGGGATCGAAGCGTCTCTTTTTAAGGTTTCAAAAACAAAACGCAGCATTTTACCTGGCCTGTCTCCCCGGCTCCCCAGCCACATCAGTAAAGGCTGAAGTCTGACGGCCAGGGCGCGGAGCAGCTCTCCTGCCCCAGGGTGTGGCTTGTCCTCGTCGTGGCTGTCATTTGGGTAGGTTTCCCCTGACAGGGAACAGGCTGAGGAGGATGGGAGATTCGGTTTCTATGGAGACTGGGCAGAGAACAGACAGTCTGGGAACACAGCGACCACGGAGGTACAAAAAGGCCCTGGGAAGCGCGCTGGAAGGTCTGGGGAGCCGGGCTCCACGGCAGCCCTCCTCTAGGAATCTGCAACCTGCTCCTCACGGCCAGCGGCTCCCGGAGGAGGGCTGCCATGTGCGAACAGCGCCGCCCACTGGGCATGGCGCGTAGTTGCGGCTCAGCCAACACCGGCGCTGTTCTGCGGCTTCTCATGAACCCAGCCACCGGCTAAGCGCCTTCGGCACCGTTCCTCAGCTGTACCTGGCCTGAGAGCCTGGTTACTCCCAGAACACATGCCCTGTGCTCCTGTCCTCCTCGCCTCCGGCGGAGCACCGCGAGAGGGAGTCAGGCGGACGGTACGCTGGTGCGAGTCCCTGATCAATCACCAAACCCCAGACCTCAAGCCCAAGATTCCTGGCGTTAGCACCCGCAAGTCCCCAAACACCGGGGTGCGAGGCAGTAAACAAAGCATAGCAACGCAGTTCAGTTTGTGAGGCTCCGACCCCCAGGGGGGGATGAGGGAGATAAAGGAGGAGAAGTGGGCCCCGAGGATGTAGGAGCAGGTGGTGAGCACGACCCAGGACGGCGGCGAGGAGGAGGGTGGGGAGCCTGCCGGCTGCCTGGTTCTGGCGTGAGCGGCTTGCTGGACACTGAGAGGAGGCTGGAGGAGGGCAGGTGAGGGCCACTGCGTCTGTGGGCTTCTCGGGTGGGAAGATGGAGAAGGCCAAGATCGGAACGTGGGCTGTGAGGTGTGACTGAAAATATGGTCTGTATTTAAAGAAACAAAATTATAGCAAAAGACACATTGGCATGAGTCCCCTTCAAAACCCTCCCCGTTCACCTCAAACACACTTCTCCCATCACTCTTGCCCCTTTCTGAAGCGGCTTGGAGTCCTCTCATGGGAGTGTCCTTAGTTGTGCCGTCTATTATCAATTCGAAGTGTTTTCCCTTCACTGTCTTTTTGGCTCAGGGCAGGAGCAGAAGCCA